AAATTGCCCAGGCTGGTCTCAAACTGGTGATCTTCTTGCCTCAGCCTCCCAGAGTACTGGAATTATGCAGCCTCCTCCCCCTGTTGCATGGAGATTCTGATCCTCTCATGCTCTTTGTGCTTGCTAAGCCCAGCCTGAGCATGTGTAGGGGTGCCATCCTAAATCATGACTTTAGCACCCCTTTTCTAAACAAATTGAAATAAGCACTGCTATCACCAGGAAATTCTGAGAGCTTCAGCAACTTTGCACAAGGATGAACATCGAGATGCTTCTATCACTTTTGTCACTTAGAAAATGATCAAGGTCCAAGGTCAGTTAAGACTCAGGACATATGAGAACTTGTACTGTTATATCATGTAACTCGGTAGTGTCCCAAATTTTCTGATCAAGGAGATTATGGGGCCAAAGAGGAAAGTGATTGATGATGTAGAGTGTGCCTAAGGAGAGTCACATGGAGAGAAAACATTCTCTCAGGCTTTCACAGAGAGCACATTGGCCAAGCAATGGCTGTGACTCATCCACATGGCTGACACTGACAAAGGTTCTACAATCTGAGGTATAGGATCTCAGGATAAATCCTGAGGGGATTGCACTGACCTTCTCAGACCCAAAAGCTACAACTCTTGTTGCATAGGTCCTGCTTTACCTTGGTCTTAACCATCCAGCAGAAAAGTACAAAAACGAAATATAAGAAGCCATGCTGTTATGTTGAGCTATAGGGAACTCAGGTCAACAATTTCTGACATTGCCAGTCAAGCAGAAGACCCAATACTATTATGGGTTACTGGACTCTTTTGGAATATTTTGCTGAGTTTACACACCTATAATATTCAAATAACAAAACTTAACAAAAAAAAAAGGGTATACAGATGAATGTCCATTTTGTATCTGTGTATTCAAAGTGGTTAGGATAGATATATAGTTACATTCTCTTAATGAATACAGTGATTTGTTCTAATGGTATTTGTAAATAGGATATCAAGTCTGCATCTTGTACAGCAATTAACCACTCGGAAGAATGTATGCAATGTGTTAATTATTGAAACTGTCCTACCGATTTGATTTGAAACTGTCTCATTGCTGTTTGTTTCTCAATAAAATTATGAAAAAAAAAGAAAAAGAAAATGATCAAGATTTTAGGAGCTCTGTGCTGAGAACTGGGGCAAAGACAGAGGATGCTTTAAAATCATGCCACCATTGACTCGCTTTGTTCTGCGCTTTCCCTGGCACCTACTCCGATCCCATTTACACTGCTGGCTGATGTCTGTCTCCTGGAGGAGGGCCTTTGAATGAAAGATGCTAATTATTACCCAAACAAAATCATAAATCTACAGTGTCCTTTCTGGTGCTTAAAAATTAATAATATGGCAATTACAATTGAAGTCAGAGTGAAATGGGGCAAAAATTCTGGGGAAAAAAAGCCCATGCATTTACTAAGTCTCTGGCCACTTCTTGCAGTCACAGCCTGTCTTCCTTTCTTCCTTTTGAAGCACTCTGGAGAGAGCAGGGAGTCGAGCTGAGGTCCCTCCATGACACACAGCCTGGTGCAGCTCACTCTTCCTGGCACCAGGCACACAGAGTCCAAGACCCAGAGCACTGGCAATGCGGGCAGATGCTATATTGGACTGTGATGAGTACAGTTTGGAGAGAGAAAGTGCCAGCGACTCATCCGAGGGGATGATCTAAGTCTCTTCACACTGCTAGCACAGGCTTGCACTAATAATAGACCATGGGCTGCATCCTCCTTCTCATTGACTGTCACACGAAGTCCTCAGCTGTTTCCGTGACCAGCTCTCTGGAGACTTCCAAGAATGTGCAGGGTAATCAGTGATCTTAATTTTAACTATCATGACGTGAAAGATGTTCTGCTGCAGTCTGTTGAGGCCCTTAGGATGCATAATATGATGGTGAAGGCTGGAGGAAAGATAGCCTCTTTAATAAATGGTGCTGGAAAAATTGGCTTTCTACATGCTGAAGGCTAAAATTAGACCCATGTCTATCACCATGCAATAAGCTACAGTCAAAATGGATCAAAGATTTAAATATTAAATCTGAAACAATAAATCTCCCAGAGGAAAAAGTAAATTGAAATCTTAAACACATAGGGGTAGGTAGAGAGTTCAAGAACAAAATCCAAACTATACAGGAAACACTTCAAAGAGTCAACAACTGGGATCTCATCTTTGTGGAAAGTTTCTGCACTTCAAAAGATTTGCCAACAGAGTGAAAAGAAAACCCATGAACTGGGAAAAAAATTAGAGCAAACTGCCCCTCTGACAAAGGCCATCAGTCAAGAACATATAAAGAATTTTTTAAAAATCAGGCCTCCAAAGTTCAAAGACCCAGTTCAAAAATGGGCATCTGAGATGAATATATACTTCTCAGATGATGAAATACAAAATGACAAATATATGAAAAAATGTTCAACATCATTTGTCATTCACAGTATGCAAATTAAAACAAAACTGAGATTACATCGCATTCCAGAAAGAATTGCTATCATCAAGAAGTCAGCCAATAACAAATGCTGGAGAGGCTGTGGGGAAAAAAAGAATCCTTCTCCACTGTTGGGAGGTGTGCAGACTGGTACAAGCACTATGGAAATCAGTGTGCAGATTCTTCAAAAAGCAAAGATTGGAGGTCCCATTCAACCAGGCTATTCCCCTCCTAAGTATTTTTCCAGAAGAACTAAAAGCATATCACAGCAATTTATGTGCACCCATGTTTATAGCAGCACAATTTGCCATAGTTCAATCTTGGAAGCAACTGAAGTGCCCATCAACTGAGGAATGGATAAAGAAGATGTGGTATTTTTACACAATGGAGTATTATTCAGCTATAAAAAAGGATAGATTTGAGAATTTTATAGGCAAATGGATGCAACTGGAGTCCGTACTCTTAAGTGAAATAAGTCAGACCTGCATGTGCAAACATCATGTTGTCTCCTTAGTGTAAGAACTTGAAGAGCAAATAAAATCTGAAGGGTCAATAGATCCTGTGACAAGGGAATGAATCTGTCCAAAAGGAAGGAATTAGGAGGATAAGAGAGGGAGTAGGGGAAAGAGATATCTATGCACATAAGCAAGATGGTTTGGATAAATGTACTGTGGATTTCACACTACCATGCTCAGTCTGTTGCCAGTCTCAGCATGCCCTGGGGGTGGGGCTGGCACAGCACACCAGGGATTAAACCCTGGTCCCTGCGTCTGTCTGAGCAGGTGCTTTAATCCGCTGAGCTATCTGGCCAGTCCTGAGTTTGTTGTCTTGATCTGAATCTAGCTATCCATAAGTATGCTGAGTATGAAAATTCTTTGAGCAACCACCTACAAATGTGTCTGTTTTTGTATATTATACTTCAAAAAAAAAAAAAAAAAAAAAAAAAAAGCTTTGAGCATTTTGTATTTAATTTGGGCTTTCATCATTTGGGGTGTGTGTGTGTGTGTGTGTGTGTGTGTGTGTGTATGTGTATGTGTTACGTGTTAAATTCATGCTAAAAGGGCACTGTACCACTGAACTACTACATCCCTTACCCTTGATCTTGGTTTTTTGTTTGTTTGTTTGTTTTTTTGCAGAACCGGGGATTGAACTCAGGCCCTTGTGCTTACTAGGCAAGCGTTTATTCTACTGAGTCATCTCCCTGGCCTGTTGATCTTGTTTTTTGGAGGAAAACATACAGTAATTATAGCAGTATACCATATACACATGACAGATCAAATTATTTCTGAAAATTTTATAAAGCAAAGCCCAATAGACCAAACTCTTTCCTTTCAAAGGGAAATCTATTTTGTATTTTTCAATTTTGGAAACAAAAGTAACCTGGGCATGGTGGCACATGTCTACAATCCCAGCACTCAGGAGCCTGAGGCAATAAGATTGCTACAAGTTTGAAGCCACTGTTGGTTTCATATTGAATTGAAGGCTGCCCTGAACTATACTACAAGACCCTGTATAAAAAATAAGTAATAATAATAATAATAATAATAATAATAATAATATTTATTGGGAGAGAAGATAACAAGATTTAAGATTGTGCATGTACCAACTGTAATAACTGTAATCATTCTGTATTGCAAAAATACAAAATAAAAAATACAAAATAAAATGAATAAACAAACCTATCTCTTAATAAGCACAGAGATGTATTGGAGTTTCTAAATAACTGTTCTCTTTTATTTTATGCTCTTTTATTTATTTTTTTTTCAAACATTTATTTATTTATTGTGTGTGTGTGTGTGTGTGTGTGTGTGTGTGTGTGGCCAGCTCAGCCCACCAGGGGGTGCGGCTGGCTGGCATGTGGTGCTGGGGGATCGAACCGTGGTCCCTATGCTTTGCCAAGCTTATTCCAAGTAGGTGCTTTAGACCACTGAGCCATCTCACCAGCCCTATTTTATGCTCTTTTAGTTAGAAACAATCTATGCACTTTTTAGACCATACGAGAAGTAGGTGCTTTCAGGCACTATTGTTGGAAATAAATTGGTACAAACTCTTTGCAGATCACTTTGACAATATCTATAAAAATACAAAATGTTCATGAATTTGGTGAAATTAATTCTTCTTTGAAAATGATTCCTGAAATACTTGAGAAGTATTGTGGGATTTTTAATCTTTCACTGTTGATACATTCAACTTTCAACTAATTGAGAACCTACTAGGATGCAGGCTCAGGGCTGGTATGTGGGAAAGTATTGGTGACCAAGACTGATCAGTCCTAGGTATGATATTAGATTCTTATCTAGTTTATGTCCCAGTGGGAAACAGACAGCAAATGATAAGTCACACAAATCATGAGTCTATTAGACATGTAATTAAATCATAAATGAAACAAATGAAAATTTATTGAAATTATTGAATTAAATATTGTTTAATTTTAATGAAGAAGCACAGTCTATACAATGTTCATAAATTTTTAGGATTTTTTTTCTTCTGGTAGGTTGAGATAAGGACTTACTATGTAATCCAGGTTGGCCTTGCATTTACCATAGAGCTTAAGTGAACCTCCAACTTGTGATCCTCCTACCTCAGCCTCCTGAGTGCTAAGATTATAAACATGCACCTCCATCCCAGGGGAGAACATCAACTAAAGGATGGACCAGTCTTGCAAAGAAAAATACAGAAGTGTGAAACAACACAACAGTTTGTGTTCAGAAATAGATTAATATCTGATAGCAAATCTTTAAATAGAAAATACCCTGGGGATATCAGAGCAATCACTTGGATAGAAGTTGGAGCCCTGAATGACGTTAAGGAACAGAATTTCCCTAATGCCTTTGGCTTCTCACCTTAGCATTTTTAAAAAAATAGACTTTATTTTCTTGAGCAGTTTTAACTTTACAGAAAAGTTGAACAAAAAAATAATAGATTTCTCATAAACTATGTAATCCCATCTACTATTAATATCTTGCCTTGGTGTGGTACATTCATGTCATGGGTGGAGGCCAGTGGAGGTAAATTAGGTTATTGGGCACTGTGCTTTCAAAGAGGATATTAGGACAGCACCATCTTCCTGTCCTTTTCTCTCTTTGCTGTTCTGATTTCCATGGGGTGACAGGTCCTTCACCACATGCTCATGCCATGAAAGTGGTGTGGCCAGTCTTTAAGGTTGCCTTCAAATTTTGCTGATATTGATTGATTGCTTTTGATGGGTCAAGCACAATACAAAGCAAGTTTTACATGTACTGTCTCAAGCTACCAACATAACACAGGAGATAGTTTCTAATATTAAATTCATGTCAATCCTCCTGACAACCCTATGAAGTGGTTACTATCTAAGATTCATTTCATGAATGAAGAACCTTCCCAAAGACACATGGCAGTAAGCAGGAAGAGCTAGGGTTTGTACCCAGATTTAACTCCAAGCATGGACTCCTAACCACACTGCTGTGTCCATGAGGAAGTGCCAGGGGACATCTCTCCAGATAATGGCTCTTGAAATGCAGGTCCCAACTACAGAAGCAGAAACCTGCATGGAACTATGGGACTGCTAGACCAACTTCTTCATTGTCCAGGTGGGGAAACTGAGCCCAATGCTCTTGATCGCGTATTTTGTAGCAGGGCTGGAAGCAGAGGGGCCTCTGTGTTTATGTGGTGGCACTGGCTACTCTACCTGTGAACCAGAGGAGGTCTCACAGCCTCCTATTTTGGGGAAAGAAATAAAGATTTTCCTCATAGTCAGCCATTAATCTCCCATTCTTCTCTCACTTAAGTTTCACTTTGTGGGTCTCTGAGTAAGACTCCCATGACTTAAATTGTTACTGAAACACACCCAGCATTTTCAGCATTGTATAAAAATTTCTAAATGTATAATCTTGACATAAAATGCTTGAGTAAAAGCAAGTGGTTGCCATGGCACTCGGAACAGCATCTGCAGCACACAAACATCATCCTAATATAGTTTTTCCTAATAAAAATAGGAAGCCAAGAGAGCAGTGAATGTAGGTAGGGTGAAAATATTTTAAAAATAAGACATATTCCATTATATTTATGACTGTTTTCAAAGCCATCATTTTAACTGCTGCCAGTGTCATAGCTGTCATCATCTATACTCACAACTGGTATTTGCTCTATTCATTTGGGACATCTGAGACTGTTAGCTATAAATAGATGTTGGTTAGAGCTAGGTTTTGGCCAAACACTTGATCATTGAGCATGGATACATTATCATGGTCAACAGCTAGATGAGTAAGGACTCAAACATCACCAAGTCCATATCCCTCAAAAAGCTGTGTCTCTGTCTATCTGAATGTCTGTCTGTCTGTCTGTCTGTCTGTCTGTCTGTCTGTCTGTCTCTATCTATCTATCTATCTATCTATCTATCTATCTATCTATCTATCTCCTTGGAATGACACATGCCCAATCCTATCACTACCTAATAGGTCTTTAGCCTCTATTCTCCGGATTCCTTTGGATGAAATTCTGGAAAAAGCATTAACAGTCCCTTAATATCTTCAATGAATATGGATTTCTTCTATTTGTTTTCATGGTCACTTATTTATTTCCCCACAGGGTAGTGGGGAGCTCCTGATCTCCAGGACCTGTTCTAGAATTTATGACAAGGCTGGATTACTTTACTCCTAGACTTAAACAATCTCACTGAATATCAAACACTGGCAAAGTTATTCTGTGACTATGACAAGATGAGATGAAGCTAGGCATCTTTAGAAGGCTGTTCCAGGCCAGGGATATAGCTCAGTGGCACAAGCACTTGCCTGGCAAGTGCAAGGTCCTGGGTTTGATTCCTAGTATGAGAGAGAGATGAGAGAGAGAGGGAGAGGGAGAGGGAGAGGGAGAGGGAGGGAGGGAGGGAGAGAGAGAGAGAGAGAGAGAGAGAGAGAGAGAGAGAGAGAGAGATCTGTTTCAGCACAGAAAGATGCAAGGCCATTGGGTGACTCCATACCAAGCTTTCCCCTCTCCTTAGTGAGTAGAATCATCATGACTTTCTTATCACCTTTAGTTTAGAGCAGGCCTGCCCCACTCCATTCCTTCCCAAATCACCCAGCCAGTTTCCTCCAATCCCCTCTTACCAAGACACCCCATGATTCTACAGTGTGTGTTCTCTTACGTACAACAATCAATTACCAATTTATCAGACACATCTTTAGGTGGAGGCAACTGACTTCTATATAAAATGTGCTAAAATGTTTTAACTGTTTTACCTGCTTACTTTCCTCCCATTTCTCTATATAGAAGTTAAGCTCAGAGGACAGAGATCATCTATTTTTTCTGTTATATTTAAATACCTACTCTTAGCCAGGTGGGGTGGGGCATGTCTGTACTCCTAGCACCCAGGAAGCTGAGGCAGAAGAATCTTTTCATTTTGTAGCCTGGGCTCCAAAATGAGCTCAAGACTAACCTGAATTGCATAGTGGAACTCTGTGTCAAAAGGATATAACTGTAAAACAATAATAACAACAACAATGATAATGTCTTTATTAGGAATCAGATGTTTTATATTTATTGAAGAAATGAATTCACAGGGGAAATGTATACATGCTCAGGTTTTTCCCCATCTCTTATATATTCAGGAAGCAGGCATTTAAGTGGTAATTCAACTGTGTGCCTCCTAAGTAGTAACATACACTGGGAATTGTACACAAAAACACTTTGTAAACTGTACTTACTCTTATCATAACATTACTCTTAGCAGTAATGACAATATTTCACTTCTAAATTTGGATTTTAACTATTCCTCCAAACTACTATGAAGTTACTTGCTTATTTTCAACTCTTCTATTTCTTTCAAAATGAGTTTTCTTGATCTTTAATCATAGAAGCAATATTTATGTATTTCAGTGTTTGGAAAATTTGTAGAATATAGACTGACAGAAAGAAGAAAATAAATATACAACCTACTCCCAAAGAAGTCTCATTTTCCCAAATTCAAGTATATGGTACCTCCTGGTTTGGAAGTTTGGGCTTGTCCTTAGTATGAAGGGACCTAAAGAGAAATGCAAACTACATTTGATGGGTGTGAAAGGAATGTTGAAGGTATTTGGTACCAGGACCCATGAGTGCCAGTGTCCTATCTAGCCCACAAGCAAGTCACCTTTCTCTAACTTTTAGGAACCCCTCAGCACACTTGGCTTAATTAATGGCCAAAGGAAAAAAGACTTCACTATATTTGTTATCACAAGTTCTAGGGGACCTGGGCAAAGCTGGTTTCAACTTTGCTGTTAAGGTAGAAAAATGGGGTGGGTAGGAAAGGTGTGGTGTATTATATCCTTGATGGATGAATGATACTTTTTTCCGAGACACCAAGATTTTTACCTTGTATTATCACCCCTTTGTCCACACTTGTAGAAATCCTTTTATATCCTTTTATTGAAAAAAATAATTACCAAAAGTCTGATGATATAAAAATTATACACATCGCTGCTGTGGTTTTCACGCTAATAAGCAAAAATGTTGATACCTGCAAGTCAGAATGCAAATTACATACAGATACTTTAACAATGTTTACTGCTATTATTGCTCAGTAGAATTGAAGTCACTATATTTATGTATGATGTTAATTATACGTTAGACTGATAAAATTTTGGTTGTTACAACTCTAGCATGTCGTAACACTGTGGTAGCCATCTGGTCTACCTAATGAATCCCAGGAATCCCTATGATGTCACTGGCAGCCAATCAGAGCTTCTGTTGACACACAGCAACTCCACTGAATAGCTGTTTACTTCCCCTGTGAGGCTGTCATGTTCTGGACAGTGTCCTGAGAAAAATCAATGAGCAGTCCCTTTCTGAATAGCCCACAGTTAATTACCATCCATGGTGATGAGCACAATGTTAATAGTCCAATAGAAGCAAAGAAATTGGTATTTAATTAATTTGAGCAAACTTGCTTACTCCTTAAAATATTAAAAATAGCTCTAAATCCCCTTTACTATCTTCCTGAAGTCCTAGTGGAAACCATAGCATGTCACAAAGTGAAACAGGACAAGGACATGACACCAACACCCAGTAAGTCACAGTCTCTAGTTTCAGATTTATCATGGCTTGTCTGCATGGTTTTCATTTGTTTATGTATTAAGAGTTGAATCTAATGCCTTAGCTCCAGCCTCAAACTTTTAAATTTAATTTTAAAATGATCTCAGTGAGTGGCTAAATTGCTCAGGCAGGGTTGAAATTTGTCTCCTGCCTCAGCCTCCCATAGGGCTAGAATTAGTGTGTACCACTATGTCAAGTACCTGTGTTTTTTAAAGATGTCTTAGAGCCGGGCATGGTGGTACACACCTGTTATCCCAGGAGTTGGGAGGCTGGGGCAGGAGGCTCCTGTAAGTCCAGGGAGAGCACAGACTACAAAGCAAGTTCTAGGCCAGTCTAAACTGCAAAGCAGAAAAAAAAAAAAATAGATACATAAACTGCAAAGAGAGACCTTGTCTCAAAAGAAGAAAAAAGTTTTAGTAGTAGGAAGCTTCTTATCAGTTACAACATGAATAGAAACACAATAAGCAATTTAAAATTTTTAAAGCACATTTGAATTAAGTTCTGTGCCTGGAGCAAAGTGATCCTTCTAAGTTTCAGGCAAATTCCCCAGATGTTGAAGTCCATATGATGCTTCTTAGGCTGTTGTTGGTACAAAACTGTAGTTATCAGCAGCGTGAACAGGCATTTTTTCAGTGAAGATGCTAAGAGCTTTGTGCATGAAGAGCCTGTTTTCCCTCCCACACTTATGTGTCCAAACATAATCAAGGGTTGATCTGTCTCAACCAGATAAATGAAGCATTTATAGAATAATACTCTCCTTTCCCTAGTGCAAAGTTTTTAAATTGGTCTCAGACATTTCCTTCAGAAAAGGCACCTACAGATCTACAGAGCAGACACTAATTAGCTGCCTTTTTGTCCTGAGAATTTATTCATGACTGAGTGGAATTTACTTTTTTCCCAGGAAAGAACTTGGACCAGGAAAAGCAGTGTGGTACAGCTGCTGAGTAGGCATGGTGGTGCACAACTGTCATCCTAGCATTCTCAAAGGCTGAGGCAGGAAGATGGCAAAGTTTGAACCCAGTACCAAGGAGGGGATGAGTATGTCTTCTCTGCTCTACCACTTACTAAATATTCTGTGCCTCAGATTCCTCATTTGTAAAATGGTGATAGTGTTACTCCATACTTTATAAAATGGCTGTGTAGTTGAGCTGAGAAAATACATGTAAAGTTCTTACAATAGAGCCTAGAGCACACAAAGCCTTCAGTAAACATTAGCTCTTATTATATGAGTTTTTTTTCCCAAGGGTGTTTTGTTAAAAACATGTAAAATGTTGGTCAACATTATGATCAACCAATAAGATTACAAGGATAGTTGCTTGGTAATATTGATCCAATGGTAGTAAGGGCATGTGGGTGACATCAATAATTTTGGTCAGCAAGTTATAGTTTTGGCTTGTCTTTAATTTTAGCAGTCTTAGTCTTACAGCCCTAGTGGGTGGGAGAGGATGAATCACCTCTAATGAGATAATGAGAAATCTCTAGAGTTTGGTACCAATAATCTAAAGCTTTCACTTATCCCTTAGGAAAGTATGTAAATCTAGCCATTGTGATTTTTCGGTGATCTTCTCCAGATGGCCTCCAGCTGCAGTTGTGATGTGTTCTCATCTTCTTTCTGTACTGACTTCCTTGAGGGCCCTGCCCTATCTGACAGTCTATATTTCTACCTAACTTAATTGTTTATAATAATGGTAACTGGGGGGAGGTACTAGAGAGACTGAACCGAGGGTCCTCCTGCTGAGCTACAGCCTCAGTTGTTTTGTAATTTTAATTTTGCTTTATCTTGGTCTTAACCATCCAGCAGAAAAGTATAAAAATGAAGTATAAGAAGTAAAGCCATGGTGTTATGTTGAGCTGTAGGGGACTCAGGTCAACAATTTCTGACATTGCCAGTCAAGCGAAAGACCCAACACTATT